ATCTTTGACTAGATGGACATTTGTTGACAAAGTAATGTCTCTGCCTTTTAATCTGCTGTCTAGGTTTGTCACAGCATTTCTTCGAAGGATCAGGTGTCTTTTAATTTCATAGCTGCGGTCACCATCTGCAGTGATTTTGGAGCCCAAGAAAATAAAGTTTGTCACTGTTTCCATTGTTTCCTCATCTATTTGCCATCAAGTGATGAGACTGGATACTATGACCTTAGTTTTTGAATGCTGAATTTTAAGTCAACTTTTTCACTCTCCTCTTTTACCTTCATCAAGAGGCTATTTAGTTCCTCTTTGCTTTTTGCCGTAAAGGTGTTGTCTTCTGCATATCTGAGGTTACTGATATTTCTCCCAGCAATCTGGATTCCAGCTTGTGTTTCATCCAGTCTGGCATTTCACATGATGTATTCTGCATATAAATTAAATAAGCAGGCTGACAATATACAGCCTTGAGGTACTCCTTACCTAATTTTGGATCAGCCCATTGTTCCATGTCCAGTACTAAGAGTTATACTAATGGAGAATCACTAACATAGATTAAAAGCACATGCTCAAAGCAATCACATATTTCACAAGGCTGCCACCACATACCAAACATATTAAAGTGAGAGTTTTTGTGGAAAAAGGAATAGAAATAGTATGAGGATGAAGGTAGAAAAATAACATAAGAAACCACTGGTCTTTTGCATACACTAGATTATATTACTCTGTACTAAAGAATGTGATTAGCTTGATTTTAACTAACTAAGTGAATTTTTTTTTTAATTAAGAAACTTTACTATACAAATGCCCTAGGGCACAGGAGAAACCAGTACCTAAGGAGAACTGGGTGAAGACAGAAAATCCCACAGAGAGTATATTCAGGATATAGATAAATAAAGTGTGGTCTAGCCATATAATGAAATATTACTCAGCTATAATATGTAATAAAATTCTGAGACAAGCTGCAACATGGATGACCTCAAAAAAAAAAACAAAAAAAAAACAAAGGTAAGTAAAAAAGGCTAACACTAAAGGTCACATATTTAAAATTCCATTTACATGAAACATCGAAAATAAGCACATCTATAGAGACAGAAAACAGATTAGTGGCTGCCAGAGGCTGAGAGAGAAAGGGATAGGAAGTGACTGTTTAATGGTATGAGGTCTCCTTTGGGGGCAATAAATCCGCCTGCAAGGCAGGCCCGGTTCGATCCCTGGGTCAGACAGTTCCCCTGGAGGAGGGCATGGCAACCCAGTCCAGTGTTCTAGGCTGGAGAGTCCCACGGACAGAGGAGCCTGGTGGACTACAGCCCACGGGGTCACAAAGAGTCCAACACGACTGAGTGACTAAGCACACAGGGGTAATGGTTGCACAAAATCATGAATGAACTAAGTTCCAATGAATTGTATACTTTTAAATGGTAAACTACATGTCACATGAACTTTACCTCAATAAAAAAAGCATAAACTTCACAGATATCAGGCGAAAGGATAGATAACTTCTCTTTGAAGAAATGTAGCCTTATTGTAAATTCAATTAATCTCAGTCTTCAAAACAGGAGGAAGCCCATCTCCCAGACTGGATCATTTAAAGTAGAAGCAGAATACATTTCATGTCTTTGTAATGCGTTTTTGGACCAGGGTGCATATAATGGATTTCAATAATGTTTTTGACTATTTTATTATGTTTTCATTAATGATATGTGTCTCACTTTACCAACAAAGGTCCACATATTCAAAGCTATGGCTTTTCCAGTAGTCATGTGTGGATGTGAGAGTTGGACCATGAGGAAGGCTGAGCACCAAAGAACTGATGCTTTGGCCACCTGATACAAAGAGCTGGCTCACTGGAAAAGACTCCAATGCTGGGAAAGATTAAAGACAGGAGGAGAAGGGGGCAACAGAGGATGAAATGGTTGGATGGCATCTCTGACTCAATGGACATGAGTTTGAGGAAACTCTGGGAGATAGTGAAGGATACGGTAGCCTGGTGTGCTGCATTCCATGGGGTTGCAAAGAGTCAGACACCACTTAGTGACTGAATAACAACACCAACTAGTTCTTTCAGTGGTTGTATATATATGTGGTTATTATCTATAATGGCATGCAAAGTTGCTTCAGTCTTGTCCAACTCTTTGGGACACAATGGACTGTAGCCTGACAACTCCTTTGTTCATGGGATTCTCCAGGTGAAAACACTGGAGTGGGTTGCTGTGCCTCCCTCCAGGGGATCTTCACAACCCAGGAATCAAACCTGCATCTCTTATGTCTCCTTCATTGGCAGGGGATTTCTTTACCACTATTGCCACCTGGGAAACCCTATTATCCATAATATATAAGTATGTTTATGAATTATATAATTACTGCACACCTTAAATACAATTTTATCATTATAATGAACACTATACCTATACAATTGACCCTTGGCTATCTCAGCAGCCCACCAAAGCTCCTCTGTCCTTGGGATTTTCCAGGAAAGAAACAGGAGTGGGTTGCTATTTCCTACTCTAATATTTTATGATATGTGTATGTATACATATCCACACTTCTAGACACTGGGGGAGTGTGACATTGGAAGTGGAGTTTAATAATTAAAATGAAAAAATGATTAGAGAATTTCAACAGCGCATGTAAGATGGTAGACGAAAGACTGTAAACTTGAAGATGGATTAATAGAAATCAATGTAAAAAATGAAAAGATTTTGAGAAAAAATGAGCTAGAGGACCCATTAAGCACACTGGCATATATGGAAAGAGTATCAGAAAGCAGGAAGAGAAAGGGGAGGAAGAAAAAAAAAATAGTTGTAGACATAATGACTGGAAACGTGCCAAGTCTAATGGAAAACATTAAAAGACAAAACATTAGGAAGATGGCAAAATAAAAATATTCTCAGATAAACAAAGACCATGAGAATTTTCTGCTAACATTCCAACTTATAATGATTACTAAAGGAAGACATTTGAACAGGAAAAAAAAGCTTGATTTTCTTAGATTTGAAAATACTGAACTGATTCGTTAAAGATGAGTGTGTATCTGTACAAAATGTTCCAAAAGTTTTTGTTAAGTTTATTAATTTTAGAAACAAAGATGTTGGAAACTTATGAAAAATTTACTTTGAAGCTTAACTATTAGAATTTGTTTTATACTTCATAACTTTTAAATTTCATGTGGTTATTGATTTAATTTTAAGACCCTCTATCTACATCTAGTGAAAATTAAATGAAATTTTACAATTTTATTAATATTTCCAAAATTCACATGGCTAAAAAATATGAAAGAAATTTTAGTTCCATGCCTAGGTCGATGCAAGGCACAAATATACTATGTGGAAAATTTGGAGTTACAGACAAGGGAATCCTGAGAGTAAGAATTCCTGGAATCAACCAAAACTATAGGGACAACTCCAGATTTTTAAAAGCCATTTATGGGGCTCAAGTAGAGATTTGGGGGAAAAAAAACAGTATTGTCTGAGTTCCAGATGGGATGAATTGAAACTAGACTAATATTTCTGTCTAACAGGATGAGAAGGTAGGACGGGAAGGCTCAGAGAAGGGAGATGAATGAAGCTGTGGGGATGGATGGTTAGGGAGGGGCTCTAAATCCAGCTGCCTCTTCCTCTGCTAATCCTTCTTACTCAAAAGGGCCCTTTGTGACCAGACCACATCTCTGTGATGTGAGCCTAATACTTTAGTCCCCAAGTGCACATCTGGCTCAGTTTCCTGAGGGCGGTTGTGTGATTCAGATGAAGGAGAATCCTTTCTGTTTTTTCTGAAAAAACACTTCTGATATTTGGCTGAACTCCAACTCCCCTTTCTGGGTGATCGATACCATCCTTGCTTTTCTGTGTGGACTGGGGCTCTTTCTCCTGATCCTTCCTTACCTGGAGAATAACCCATCCTTTGCTTCCCCTAGGAAACATGGAAACATCAGGAAGGTAAGGAACTCTTGGTTCAGACTGACAAGCACCTGGCTATCTCTTCTTTTCTATTATTATTTCCACTTTTCTAAACCAACTGGAGACTTTTGAAATGAGAAAGAACAGGGCATCTATTCTCAAGGAAGAATAGAACATCATGCCCCTAGGGACAAACCAGGCTGGTCAGGGAAGAGAGTGAACACTAGGATTTCTACCCAGAGATCTCAGACCAGACGTCCTGGTGTGATAGGGGCTCCAGAGCATGCCCCGAACAAAGTGACCAGGGACCGAAGATTGGATACTGAGTTCAATGTCAGCTAGAGCACAGAACTCTGAACACCAGTTCACCAGTCACGAACAAATGTCTTAGGCCAGGGCTGGTTGGCTGGCAGTACTGAAATCCTAAAAGCCTCAGAGCAGGGGCTGGAGTGGAGTTCTGGCTTCAAGAAGCAGAGACTTACCTCATGGAGCTCAGTTTCACCCATATGTCTGCGAGTGCATGTGTTTTTTGAACAGAGGAACAGTGATGAAAGATCCAGGGTGAATCTCACTTGAAAATCCTTGTCAGTGAGTGAGTGAGTCAAAGTACCTCAGTTGTATCTGACTCTTTGAGACCCTATAAACTATTCAGTCCATGGAATTCTCTAGGCCAGAATACTGGATTGGGTAGCCTTTCCCTTCTCCATGGGATCTTCCCAACCCAGGAATCAAACCCAGATCTCCCACATTGCAGGCAGATTTTTTACCAGCTTAGCCACAAGGGAAGCCCAAGAATACTGGAGTGGGTAGCCTATCCCTTCTCCAGTGGATCGTCCCAATCCAGGAATCGAACAGGGGTCTCCCACATTGAAGGCAGATTCTTTACCAACTGAGCTATCAGGGAATCCCTGAAAATCCTTATATTCTTCAAAAAAGGAAAATAGAAAATATTTTTATACACTTTAAATATTAGTTTAAAGAATGAAAGACCACAGAGCTCTGTTGGTGAAACATAGCAAGTCATATTATGTATGGACACTGTTTGATCCTTGTCTAGAGAGGAGAGAGAGAATTGGCTCCCAGGCCCTTATTTTTTGTCTCTCTCAGCATCACATGGAGTGGAGGGGAAGAAGCAGGAGCAGAATAAGAAATGGAGCTTTGAAAGGTAAGTTCTGACATTCAGTCCTGTGAGCCCCAGGTGTTAGCCCTCACCTCTTCAGTCATTATGGCCCAGTTCCACAAATTTCAAGGAAACCAGTGGCATGGCCCCCACAGTAAACAGAACACCCAGGGAAACTCTGGGAAGGAGACCAGAACCCAGATATTTCCTAGATTCTGTGTATAGAATGAAGCCTAAGGGGTCTGGAAATAGACGTTGCCCAGTAGACATGTGTGAGATTCACTGGACCAATAAAGCCTGGATTGGGAGGTGGGACCTCTGGGTCCAACTATGGACACCTCTTTTAACTTTGCTCAGATGTCACTGCAAGGTGACCCACACCCATTCTCCTCAACAGGGGATTATGAGGGTAGCAAGGAGTAAAGGACATGGAAACACTTTGTAAATGATAAACCCTTTCATGAGCTTCACTTCACCATCACTATCAGGGATCATATGACCTTGGATGCTGGTACTTGGGCTCCCATCTCCCAGTTGCAACCCCTTCAAGGGACCTACAGTCAATGCCCCATAAGTCCCCTAGGCTCCTGCCTTCGTCCTCATGATGAGTCTGCCAATTTCCAGCTTGCAGAGATTGTCTGGAAGCACTGGAAGAGGTCTGGGACCTGACTTCACTTCTGCAAAGGTAAAGCATCTTTCTTTCCCTTCTCTCCTACATGGTCCTTTCTCCTAGAGCCTATGGTATGACCACAGGACTGCAAGCAGCCTGGGACTGAGCTAGGAGTGGGGAGCACTGGGACAGAGAACGGCTAAAGCCTTGGTGGGAGGGACAGCAGGAGCATTGTGAAGTCAGCATGGGGACTGAGCAGGGCCATGGGCTGCAGGTACCGACCCCTGGTGGGGGGCCCACCTGGCCCCGGGGCTCTTGGCTACAGTTTGTTCTTCATGTATTCTGCAGACTTCTGAGGAGGCTCCCTGACAAGGGTGGCTTTCATCAGGTATTCAGTCAAGATGCCCCTGGGGATGTGTGCAAAGCAGGGCTGGCTAGAGCCCACCAGCTAAGTAAGGAAGAGGCCACTTTCACCATGCCCCGCCTCCTCTGATCCAGTGGCCTCTATCTTAGGACTCCACCCACTCTCCACATTCAGTGTCTTCCTTAGATTCTGTTCACTCACTTTCATCTGAGAGCACCTCTCAGCGATCAGAGCCTTTCTTTCTCCTGGACAGCCTTTCACCCTGGCCACTGGCTCTTTCCACTTCCCCACCATGCCCCAGTAATGGGGAGGCCGGTCCTCCACCTCCAAGAGCCTCCTCCGACTCCCCACTACTAGGTTCTGTGCTGAGTCTCAATCAGGGTGCCTGTATGTCACTCCCACTGGGCACCATCCCACACAGCTTGTATCCACAGTCTCCTTGGAGACCAGCCATCTCAGGGCTTGTCCACGCAAGCTGTCCTCTTTCAGGCCTGTCTTGGTGGCATGGGGCTGCAAAATCTTGGAGTCTCTCTACCAAGACAAACTTTGAGTCCCAGCAAAAGCACCTTCCCTGCCATCCACCAGAGGCCTCATTTTGGGGACACCCCCAAAACAGGCAGATAGAGGCCAGTACCCTCTCATTTGTCAGCCCAGATGTCCAGAAGCTGCTGGAGATACTAATCACCAAGAAAGTAGAACTGAAGTCTTGGAAGGAGGAAGAAAACAAGGAGGAGGCAGGCTACCACCCGAATTCTTTGGGGGAAAGGATCAAGTTACTGGGTGACAAGCAGGACACCTTGGGTCACCAACGCTTCTGGAGCATAAAAGGCAAACATGATCAGCTGCTTGGTCCCAAGAAGCCCCCACATCCTGACACTTTGGGGGGCTGTCTACAGAAGATGTGCAGCCAGCTCTTCTGGGGTCTCCCCTTTCTGCACAGTGAGTCTCTCGTAGCTGCTGTCACAGTACCTGGGTCAGCTCTAGAATTATGCCATGTCTTATTCAATGAACTCTCTAAGGCTGAAAAATTTCAAATTCAATCTAAAGTAACTTCACAACTGTCACTGGCCCAGCCCTTGACCCACTCTGTGGCCCAGGCTCAACCTCAATCCTTGACTCCAACCATGCCCCAATTGCAACCGTCACCTGTAGGTCACATGGAGACTCAGGCCCGACCACTACCCTTGACTTCAACCATGTTCCAGTTTCACTCACCATCTGGGGCTCACATGGAGACCCAGGCTCCATCCCTACTCTTGACTCTGACCATGCCCCAACATCAACCACAACCACAGGTTCCTGTGGAGACCCAGGCTCAATCCAAACCCTTTGCTCCAACCATGACCCAGTGTCAATCACCATCTCAGGCTCACATGGAGACCCAGGCCCAACTCCAACCCTTGAATCTAACCATGCTTCATTTTCAACCACCACCACCTTGTGCTCATTTGAAGACCCAGACCTGTCCCCAACCCTTGACTCCAGCCACAGCTCATTTTCAACCACCACGTCTCATGCTCATATGGAGGCCCAGCCCCAACCCCAACCCTTGAATCCAACCATGCCTCAATCTCAACCACAATCTTGGGCTCATATGGAGACCCAGGCCCGACCTCAAGCCTTGAATCCATACATGCCTCACTCTGAACCACAACCTCAGGCTCATATGCAGACCAGGGTCCAACCCTTACCCTTGACAACAGCAAAGGCCCAACATCAATCACCACCACTTTGGGCTCACATGGAGGCCCAGATGCAACCCCAACCCTTTACTCCAACCATGCCCCAAGGTCAAGCATGACTTTGGGCTCAGTTAGAGACCACTACCCATCTTATACACTCTTTCCCAATCAAACCATCTTCCTCTGAATCACAGACTAGGTACCATGATGTATCTGGCCCTATAGTCCAAAATAAGGCACAATATTTCATCCCCAAAGCAATTCATACCCTAGAACATCACTGTTTGCAAAAGCAAGTAGAAAGTGGGAGAACTTTACCCTCTTTGGTTAAAAAAATCTCAGCAAGTGTTTAGCCAGGTCATTCCCAACCTTCCCCAGGAAAGCAAGTCTTCCCAAGCCCACACCTCTGTCTCCATCTTTCCTGGGGATTTGATCAGCCCTGAGGTTTGGGAGAAATTGGAGCACCACATTTCCAAAAGGTTCATGGAACAAGAGAGTAGCCTGCCCTGCAGAATCCAAGCTTCTCAAAGACTGATGCAGCCTCAGGATCAATTCCCAAGGCCTTGTCAGGCACAGGGCAGGGAGAGGCCCTCAAGTCCCTCTGCAGGTCTAGGCAAAAAGAACTAGGATGCACAGAAGATGAGCCCCAAGTGCCCAGCACAAATCCTACCAGGGACAGACCTGTGCCATGATGTAGGGCAGAGCACAGGGGGAGCCCATAAAGTTCTAAACAGGACATCAGCAAACCACCCAATGAAGGTTCCCTTCTCCAAACTGGTGCCCCAGTTAAGCAAACTGGCCTGTCCTATAGAGGTAAAGCCCAAACTGAGGGAGGAATATGGTTCTGGCGTGTGCAGTGGCATGACTTACCCTACAAAATTGAGTCCGTCACCTCGCACAAGTTTGCTGTTTCCTTGCTTGACTGCCAAGTGCTGGGGCAGTCAGTGTCACTTCAGGGAATTTTGAAGGGAAGATCTTCAGGAAAATGGTCCTAGCAACTGCTAGGACCTTGCCTCAGTATTCCCTGACTAGGGCTGGCTAGGCTGGAATAGCAGGTCTCCTGACTGGCTCACCAAGTTTTTTCTGAGTCCAAGCTGTTTCTGCCTGCAGCATGACAGACCATAAACTGGGAGATGAGGTTTTGGGGCAAGGAAGAACAACTTTATTCGGAAAGCTGGCAGACTAAGGAGATGGCAGGCTAGTCTCTGAAAAACAAAAATCTTATCAGGGCCTGGATTCCAGTTTCTTTTATAGAACAGAGATGGGGAGGAACTGAGGAATTAAAGGAAAAGTAAAGAAAAGACCATAAGTCTTCTTAAAAATCTCCCAAACAGCCAAGCTCAGGGAGAGGGTGTGGTAATATCTTCTTTCTTGCAACTGTTCAAAGGTGGCCAGGGTCAGGATGTTTCTCTAAACAAAGGCACTTTGGTTTGACATGCAGGCAGAGACAGTGTTCCCTGAGGCAAACCATTATGTATAGACAGTGTCCTTTCAGTGAACAAAAGCAATGGGAAGCAAAGGTAAAAGTGAAAGAAACAGACTCAACAGTAGTCAGATTTTGTTCTTCCCTGTAACATCACTGCTTATCAATAAACTGTCAGTATATTGTTGCAGAGTACCCTTATCAAGACTCAGTTCCCTTGCATTTCCAAAAAGATGGGGGCTGTCCTGAAAACCCTGTGGGAGCACAGTCCAGGTATATCGAGTAGCCTCCAGGGTGTCAGGGTCCCTCCATTAGGTATGGGTGGGATGATTTGAGAGAATAGCATTGCAACATGTATATTATCATATGTGAAATAGATCACCAGTCCAGGTTCAATGCATGAGACAGGGTGCTCAGGGCTGGTGCACTGGGATGACCCTGAGGGATGGGATGGGGAGGGAGACAGGATGGGGAACACATGTACACCCATGACTGATTCATGTCAATGTATGGCAAAAACCACTGCAATATTGTGAAGTAATTAGTCTCCAACTAAAATAAATAAATAAATTAAAACAAACAAACAAACAAAGGTAAGTAATAAGGTACTGAGAGTCTAGACGTAGGGGAATACAGAGAAATGCATCTTTGTGGTACTAAACAGAAATGCTGAGTGCTTCATGGCACTTGGGTGAGGAAAGTGCATAGGTTTGGTAGCAGTGGGTAAATAGGGACGAATGTCTTAGTCACTGCTCATAAACCTTGCACAAACTGATACTCCCTATTAGGGTCCTGAATGGTGCAGGGTCAGGGTGGGGAGAATCGGGGTGTTGCAAGGGGATTGGCGGGGCCTAATGAGTCTGTGTTTTAGGAATCTGGTGAACAGCAGTTGGATTCCCCTCACAGCCCCAAGTTTTAAAGGATATTGTTTTTTCCAGGGGTATATTTCCCCAGGCCTTAACCTTATTTTTATTGGAGGAACTTGTTTCCCCTCTCCTGGTCCTGAGGTATCCCAAACTGCAGGATCTACTTGTTCTCTAATTTTGGGGGGAATATTTTGATGACCAGCAGGTGAGTCATCTGGGGGTGCTAATAGATGCAATCTCTCCTTGAATTCTCTACCTTCTTGGACTTCACCACGTCCTAATAATATAGTAGCTCCTAACTTATTTATCAGATCTCTTCTGAGGAAAGGGACATGGAATTCTGGAATATACAAAAGGGAGTGAGAAGTAGTAATGGACCGGACTCTTCAGGTAAGGGAAGATGTAATTGCCTTCCCTTTGACAGTCCATCAGCTCCCAGCACAGTACAGTCTCAGTTGGAGAGAGGGCCAAGTCAGAACAGAGCAGGCAGCTCCAGTGTCTACAAGAAATTCAGTTCTCCTACCTGCTCTATCAGGGGTGACCCGAGACTCCCTGGAGTAATGAGGATGGATCAAGTGGAATCTGGAGCCAGGCAGGTACTCAGGTGTGTGGTTGGTGTGTAGAACTCTCTCATAGATTCACAAGGACCTGGCGTCAGTTGGGATTGCCCCTTATGCATCCCATAGGAGAGCGCTCAGGACATTCCCCCTTGCAGTGCTTCCCTTTATGACAAAAGGCACATTGGTTCAAGCCCAGGCAGCTTCTTTGCCATTTGTCCAGACATCTAAGCCCTCCAGTGTCCTCTCAATGCAGTGGGTGAATCACAGCAGCCAAAAATTGCTTTCTTTACTAGCCCCTTATCCTTATTGGCCTCCTCCATCAAGTCCTGGTTATTATAGACCTTGAATGCCTCCTCTACCAAGATTGACAATGGGGTTGGGAGTCTAGCCTCAAGTTTTTGTAATTTTCTCCTTGTATCAGAAGAAGCCTGGGTGACAAAATGCAAGGCCAAGAGTATCTTCCCTTCTGCAGACAGAGGCTTTCCTGAATGCC